GGTTTGATTGGTCTTTCATGGAGCTGTTAACAATCAATTTTGATTATTACAAGCTATCGACCGATTTGATTGTAAATTGATTAAAATAATCAGACAAAAACTGGTCCGATTATAGTTGATATTTTGAACAGTTTGGGTCGCACAACATTCAATCATAACTTTTGAAAAAAAATAAAATACATATTTATATTGAGACTTGACATACTTTCACTTATTTTGTTTTTTTTAAAGATATGTCTAACATCAATAATACCTTCTTAATATTATTATTTTCAATTTATTGTCATGTGGATAACTATAAATGATGGTGATATTTTGCTGTTTCATTGCATTCATGCTTCCATGTTTCCTCTTTGTTTACATAATTACAAATTGTGGGATTATAATCATTTTAAACCCAAGTATGAAAACAGGAATAGCCAATGTTACACAATTAGTACCACAAAACATTATGATTTTGGACAAAATTGCATACACAAGTATCTTTATAGACATTCTTAGATTACATGTCTTGAAAGCACACAGATCATATAATACAGATTTTGTATTCCTAAAAGGCCAGAATCGAAGATGAACTCAGGATTTCGAACCACAATGGTAAAAAAAAAACATCATCGTAATAAAAAACGGGTTGATGAAAAAGATAAGCGCACTACGTTTCAGCATCACGACTATCGTTTCTGACTTCTTTCTGCTCTTGATATATTCATCCGACATCTCGTTTATATTCGAAGGCACGCTCAAGAGTGGCCTTATCGGGCCAAAATTATTCCGAATCTCCTTTTTCACTTGACTTCCTTTCACAGCAAAACTCTTCTGACCAATTTTGCTTCCAAAATGATTGATCTTTCTATTTTTCTCATCATCATGCCTATTGGTATCTATCGGCCTTTCTGGCCCACGCGTGTGCCTGAACTCAACAACAATCTCCGAGCCCATGTGGCCGATGGGCTTACTCTTCGGCACGGCCCAAACACTTTTCGTTTCTTGATTCGCCTTCTTCTACGGGGAGTTCTTCCGGGCCACGGTTCATGGTGCTTACAATGAAGCTGATGAGCCTTTGGCAAATGGTGTAAGAGTTAGAGTTTTTGTCCTTTTTTTTTTTTTTT